TCAACTGTCTTCTCAGATTTGGCTGAATTATTTATCTAAATAAAAATAATTCCCTATGCACTTGCAGAAATGGTCAGCTTTTATCAGAAGTTGGTTTGTCCTTTCAATAAACTACTGAAATCAATCACTCTTCTAACTCTGTTTTCTTAAAAACACTCATAACAGGTATTTGGTGTGAAAAAATATATGAAGTTATAGTAAGTTTTAATAATTTACTCCTGTATGTATTTCAAATGTAGTTTTAAGAAAAAAGATTCAGTACAAAATGGAAGGATTCCTCTTTTAACAAAATTCATTCACTGTGATACATTTAAATACAGGGGTGGATTTTCAATTCCCACACGGTGCATCCAGACAAACAGAAAATATGTAAGAGGGCAGCTACATAATTTTCGTACTCAAGTAGTGAAAGATTTACTGTTTCTTTTTAATTTAAATAAATACATGTATTTAAAAGCATTACAAGCATGTTTTAAAATATAACTATACTACCAATAGGAATGTTTTCTAGACTAATAGTTGTCTGTTGTTGATAAGTTTGATCTTTATTTTTGGTGTCCAAAGCAGAACATCCAGTTTTATTTTCTACTTTTCACATGGGACAAAGCTTTTGACATTTGGACTCAGCAGCAACAGCGAAGTTTTGACTATGTATAGTCAGGGAGCCTTAACACTGTTTGTTAGTTTAAATTCCAACAGTAAAGGAAGTTGGCCTGTGCCCTTTAGGTATTCATTAATAAATACTTTATATGAGTTTCAGTTATTTTATAGCTGTATATGAAAGTTTCCCACTGCAAGAGACTGACATATAATGAAAAACACTACAAAAAGCTCACACTAATGTTTGAAAAAAGCTTTCTGATTGTGAGAGAAGTAACTGATCTGACATGGTTTTCTAATGAAACAACTGATAAATGCTGGTCAACCCTTTGCAAAAAAAGGAAAAAAAATCAAGAGGAATACATCATCTTAGCACCAGAGAATTGTTGAGATCATTTCATATACAAGGATGATACACCAAACACAGCAGGGTAAGGATTTTCAGCTGTGCAAACCCATTCCTTTCTAGAAAAGTTACTCTAGAGTTGCATGCAAGTAACTTATTTCTGCATAGACGAAGTCTCTTTTACAGCTTCAAAAGCAACACTTACGAGACAGTCTCTGGAATATCCTCTAGCTTTTTGAAATTGCCTGCCCACAACAAAAACCTTCTCTCCCAGAGTGTAGGCTTGTATCCAGGCACTCCCGAAGCAGATCGACCTAAAAAAACCCAACGAAAACACACGAAGACAAAACAACAAAACACCACCAAAAACAACAGTCAGAGAGGCTGGATGGTCAGAACTGTAACAAAACCAGTTAGGGTGAGCAATGCAGAACTCTAAATATGATTGCTAGAGGTGGTTAGAGAATTAAAACTGTATCACAGATTAACAAACGTGTAAATATGGGTTAAAATGAAGCCATGTAAGGAAAGCCAAATCCTTCCCAAAACCTCTGTATCTGCAGGTCTAAATATGCAGAAGCTGCTCCAGCTTCTAAGGTTCCTAAGGTACTGGCTTTCTATTTCATTTGAATAAGGTTAAAAAAAACCCCAAATGGAACAGCTCCAGAAAAGCCAACATGATGCACAATAACAAAAAAAGCCAATATAACATCACAGAATGTTAACTTTTTCAGGCAGTGTAAGATTTTATCTGAAGGTAAAAGTAAACAGGTGACCATAGGCAAAGACTGTACACATAATTATCAGGTCAGTCTATCAAACTCCATAAACAAAATATCCATAATGTAACAGGGGAAGCTTTTCATATATAACATACCATTAAAATCTAAGAAACAAAGTGCAAAGATAGACAGCTTTTTCCTTTTAAATAATAGGCAGTATCCTGTATGGCCATGTTCTCCCTCATGGATTCATGAATTATGTAGGAAGTGGGGTGGATACAGTTTGCTGACAGCACCAGTTTATTCAAAAACATAAAGACGAGGGCTGAGCCCAAAATGCCACGGGGCTTCAGAACTCGGAGTCAATGAATTGGCCTGGGAACTCCCTTGTCCATAAACAGGAAGCAATTCCAGTTCACACACAAGTGACAGACTCTGCCCTCACTTACAAATCATTACCTCGGCCTGAGCAAGGCCTTGGGGTTCCACAGTGCTTCTGGCAAGCACCAGAACGGAAAACAGCGTAACTGTCCCTGATCAGGAGCTCTGACCAACACAGCAGCATTACTGTGCCTCTGTGAAAAACTGCCACTCCAGCTTTCTGAAAAGCATGGGAAATGCTTAGAGGGAGCTGAAATAACACAGGTACAGAGAACCCTGCTAAGGACAGCCACATGGACACCATGTAAGAAACTGTGTCACAGACTGAGACCCTTTGGCCTGGAAAAGCAGTGACTGAAGCTCTCTTCAGCCCAGCAGAGCATTATAAGAGACATTGGGAGTGTGGTTTTTAATGAGGTCTTGGTTTGGAAAGGGTACTGAATAAAGGAAAATCAGATTATAAAAAAGTACACATTGGGTTAAAAAACAAACACAAGACTGTGGCTGAGGAATTTCTTCTTAGAGAAGAAATTCTAAGGGAAGTTTAGAATAATTTAAAAATTTAAAAATACATCTAATCCAGCTTCAGGAAATTTGTTGGGGGAAAAAAATCCAGTGAGGACTATTAAACACCAAGATGCCACCTCTGGGGCAGTGATATAGAGGAACCCTCTTCCTGTTCTCTTCCTTAGGTTCTTGCTGTAGGTCACCATTCCCACTTTACAAAAATGTAAGGGACTTCCTTTACTGGCCCCTGCTGGAGACATCACATTTTTAAGACCTTCTGTCCTACCCAGTTCTGTAGGTAATCAGCTGTCTGATTGATGTTTTTAACACAGAGTCATGCCAAATGCTTCACATCTCCGTGTTCCTTTTCTCCTGCATGGGTGGGCCATAAGGAGCCTGTGATACAGGGAGCACAGAAACTGTCCCATAAATAGTGAAAAAATGTTTAATTGCTTGAGATGTCCCTTACCAGCTCCACCCTTAAATGTGAACAATTCAGACTCTTCCCTGCAGGGCACGCTCAGTTTTTGGAACAGCTGGAGCTGGCTGCACTCCAAAAAACTGCAAAAGTCTTTTAGCTTACACATCATTCCTAAACACGAACAGTTTACAGTGGGTCTGAAGAAGCAGTTCCAGAGCAGAGCTGAGGAGCCTCAGTGTAGGAGTGTGCACTAGATAAGGTTCTAGTGATCTGCTACAAAGGGAATGCTGTGTGACCCTCACAAGTGGAAACATTGACACCTGTCTTTTTGTTAGAAAACAAGACTTTACCAAATTTAATGCTCCATTTTTTCAGTCTAGAGACCAGAACTCTCACAAAATCAGGGATATGACCACCTATATCAGCAAAATTCCTGTTCAAATGATTGCAGCATGGATATGTGAATATTCAGTGGCATGAAACATTCCATGACTTTATCAAAGACTCTTACGCTTTGACTGAAGGTCTTGCTGGGGTTTAATGCACAGCCTTCTGCTTATCTTTGGGTCCACTCCCTCGGTCATCCTCAGAACTGAGGGAATATTTCTTCCCAGCAGTTTAACAGCCTTATCTGGAAGAGGAAGCAGAGGAAGAAAAAAGCCAAGTTTAACTCAGAGCAGTAGAAAGTGGGAACCAGCTTTTAAATGGAAGCATTTGGGGTTTTTTTTTAACACAAGAGGAAAAAAAGAAAGAAAACCAATAGGTACAAGTGAAGGCAAGAAGTACCAGATTTAGTTGTAATAGCCTACCAATGAAAACTTGCTTATAAGGTATGCCTTGAGCTTGCTCAGTAGTATGTAGAAAAATGTGAATGCAATTACATTCATTTAGGGGAAAAAAAAAAAAAAAAAAAAAAAAAAAAAAAAAAAGCAGCAAGATAATGTCCTGCTAGCAATTTCTAAAACATTACAATTTCCAGGGACTAAGCTATACAAATGTTTCAGATACACTTTGGATGGTGCTATTTCAAGGACTGCACACCAGCATTCTACCAATCTTGTCACATCCCAAAAGCATTGAGAGTCAAGTCAAAAAAGCAGACTATTTAGCACTGAGAGGTAATTACTTTGTAGCACATTAGGAAAGCCAGGACACCTTATATACGAACACATACTTTAAAGTAGGCGCTTCGAATGCATTAATTAATATAATGAAAAAGTTCGGGAAAAAAACTCCAAACAACCAACCAATCTCAGAAAGGCAAAAAGGGCACTTAAAAATATAAAAGGAGTTCTTATTTTACTTTGTTATACTGTCTGAAGCTGTCTCTCCTAAGGCCCTTTACTTTCGCGGAATAATATACTCCCGATCTGAAAAGCCAATAATTTACATTTACAGGCGACACCGCCAAGGAAACCGGCCCTTTCAGAGAAGCCGAGGCACAGCCCCGCTCCCGTCACGGTTTCGGCCGCCAGGCCACCAGACACGGCCCCAGGCTCGCCTCGGCTCCCGCCCCGCGCTGCGGGCCCGGCCGCCCGGGGGCCCGGGGAGGAGGCGCGGCGGCGGCAGCCCCGGCCCGGGCTCGGGCTCGGGCTCGGGCTCGGGCTCGGGCTCGGGCTCGGGCTCGGGCTCGGGCTCGGGCTCGGGCTCGGGCTCGGGCTCGGGCTCGGGCTCGGTCGGTCCCTCCCCGCCTCCCCCGCCCCTCACTCACCGGCGCGGCCCCACATGGCGCTGCGGGCCCGCCGGGCGCAGCTCAATGTCACGGCCGGGCCCCGCCCCGGGCCCGCGATTGGCGGGAGCCGCGCCGCGGGGCGCTCGGGGCCGCCGGGCCGGCACCGCCTCCGCTGGGGGCGGCCGGAGCGCTCGCAGCGGCCGGAGGAGGAGAAGGGGCCGCGAGGCCGCTGCCGGTGGCGATGCCCGGCCGGGGGCCGCTGCGCCGGGGGCCGCGCTCCGGCGGGTCCCGCCCCGCTCCGCCCCGCGCGTCATCCCGGCTCCCCGCCGGATTGGGCGCCGCGGCTCCCTCGGCCGATCCAGGATGGCGGCGCCCGGCGGAGCCGCGAGCTGCGAGGACTTCGCCGAGTTCCAGGTAACCCGCGCGGGGCGGGCGGGGACGAGCCGGGCCGGGCCGGGCCGGGCGCTGCCGCCGCCCCTCCCGCGCGCCGCGCGCTCCCGGCCCTTCCCGCGAGCGGCCCCGCGGGAGCGCGCCCCGCGCGAGGTGACCCCGGTGCCGGCGGGATGCGGCGGGAGGGGAGCGGGTCCGGCCTTCCTCTCCCCTTCCCTCCCCTTCCCTCTCCCCTCTCCTCCGGCGGGAGCGCGGCCGGCTCCCTCCCCTTCCCGCCTTTCCCGGGACGCAGCGCTCGCGGCGCGGGAGCCACGCGGGCGGCGGGAGCTCCGTGGGCGCCTCCGCGGCGTGTGCGGGAGGGGGGGTGCCACCCGTGCCTTCGGCGGGGCGAGCAGGGCCCAGGCCGGCGGGGCCGTGGGAACCGGCTGTGTCTCCAGCGCGGGATCCCAGAATGTCCTGAGGAGCTAGGGACCCTCAGGAACCACCGAGTCCAGCTCCCGGCCCTGCACAGGACGCCCCAAGGGTCACATCGTGTGCCTGAGAGTGTCCGAACACATCTTGAGCTCCGTCGGGCTCGCTGCTGTGGCCTCCCTGAGGAGCCTGTCCCAGTGCTCTGCCGCTCTGTGTGAAAAACTTTTTCCTGCTATCCAATCTAAACCTCTCCCAGCTCAGCTTCACGCCCCCCAGAATGCTAGGGGGGTTTTATTCGAAGTTTGCCGTTTTGGTGCAGGTTTCTGTTTTGGTGCAGGTTTGGTCCCAGGTTCCCGTGTGGAAGTGGGGTCAGGGACTTGGGCACAGGCTCTTCAGCCTGTCCATGCTGCCTGCAGGGCCAGGGGACTTCAGGGGGCATCAGTTACTCGCCCCTGCTCTGGCCCTTGCTGCCAAGGAAACTCCGTGGTTTGCAGCACATACTCCTGCATGTGGGATTGCTCCTTCGGTGTGCTGCTAGCTCTTTGTAAGGAACCCTATTTAGTTTCTTTTAAAATGCTTAACTGTGCAAATTTTTTTGTAGTAGGCTTTTCTGAGAGATATAACCGAGTCTCTCTCTCTCTTTTAATACAGGAACTGCTCAGGGTGATGAGGACAATCGATGATAGAATTGTTCATGAATTAAACACTACGATTCCAACAGCTTCCTTTGTGGGGAAAGTTGATCCTGGCCAGACGTGCAGAGAGCTGTACGAGTCTGTGAGTGTGCACACCTTCCACTTTCAGCTCCCTTCCTGCTGCCTTGTCGTGTGCAGTGGCCAGTAAAGCATCCTCAGTGTCTGAGGAAAACACTGCCTTGGGAGATCCTGCTTTGTGTATTACTAACAGCCCTGCTCATCATCTCCACACACTGCTTCAGTTTAAAACCATGCAGGGCAGTTCTTTGTTCTGCAATACTGATCCTTTGAGGATCTTTTTAAAAGGGTGCTTGCTTCTTCTGCTGATCTGCAAGACTCCTCATGTTTACCTTTGACTTTTGATCAACTTGGTAAGAGCAAGAATGACAGGATAATCTAAGGTGAGAGTAGCTGTGTTGTTTCCCACATGTGGATTGTGAATTCAAAGGGATTTCTGTAGGCACAGCAATACCATGACTTTAGAAAGTGTCTATTTAAACTTATAACTTGGAGGTTTTTATTCTCTGATGAGTCACTGTGAGTTTCTTTTTCTCCCCACTTAGTTGATGGATGCTCACACCAACAGAGAAAGAATCATCAAAAACTGCATCTCTCAGACTTCCGCCGTAGTGAAAACTCTCAAAGAAGAGAGGGAAAAGGCCCATGAAGATGCAGCATTATTAAAGCAACTCAGGAAAGAGCAGACAAAGGTGAGTGATGGGGCCTTTGAGAGATCACTTACAGAGGAAGAAGTGGGTATCTTTCCCAAACGGAAAGACCAGTGTGATGGAGAGAACCTGCAGTGGATTCTGAGTCAAGCAGTCTTTTCCAAAGTTCTCATTGGCTCTTGTTGGGTCTTGTGAGAATTATTTTTCCCAAGGCCTCAAGGCAGAGAGCTGGTTTTATCCTGCAACTGGAGCATTTCCTGAGATTCTTTTACATGTATACTGTAGAAAAACACACATTATTTCCTGTGGTGGATTCTAACATTCACTGACTGAGAAGACCAAGGCACAGCTTAACTTTTCCTGTTCACTACAAGATGCTCCCAGGCAACCTTGAATTCCACTTACACAACCTTTTTGCTGGTTGGTATTTCTTGGATTAATATTTGGAGTGCCTTGTGATGGTGTGAGAGAGACTTCTGGGAACCCCACTGAAGTTCTCTCCTCATTTCCAGGGCTGCTTTTTTAAGGAAAAGGATACTGAGAGAACCATGTGGCAGATGAGTAATTTTATTCTTAAAGCCTCGCTTATTGAACTGCCAACAAGCATGGATATTAGTTTATAAAACTGGGGTGGTTGCTTAGTATTTTCTACAAATTTTGTTAGCACAGCCAGTTCCTTAAACCATTTAGTTACTGAGCCCAAAATCTCTTACTGGGAACATTGGGAGGATCACACTGAAAGTGTTTAATGACTGGAGGTTGCTTCAAATATTAAAAGCAATTAATGATTTACACACATCTCAGAAATTTTTTATTAGATCACCTCAGATTTGTAATTGAACCCTATGAGGTGTGATCCCCTGATTTTTTTTTTTTGGCTCTCCAAAACACAGAATTGTGTTTTTTCTACAAGTCAGAAAAGCTATTTTGACAGAACACATCCTAGTTTTAAGATTGGGAATTTCAAATATCTGTTAACTTGTTTGCAATACAGATCTCTTTTCCCTGTTATGTGTGTTTCTCTCATCCTGCTAGTTGTACAACTTCATGCATAATTATTACTTCTGGGTCACTGAATGAGAAAACTCGGAGGAGTAGTTTCTTTGAACTATTAAAGATCCTCTGAGTGTTTATTTTATAGAAACTTATCCTGGTCATCAGTCACTCTGGATGCTGGATTGTTATTTAAAACAGATTGAAGTCCTGTTGAGTTGGGGAAAGTGCATCCAACAGCTGTAGCAACTCTGTGTCCTTGGATATCTTACTTGGAAGGTTTTTAGTGGGATTGCTGTCTTTGCTTGCACCTGTTCACCAGGCTTCTAATTGGAACCGTGTATTGAAAATGGATAAACTCTGACTCTTTGTCTGTTGTGTTAAAGACTCTGATAAGAACACATCCTAAATTTGGGCAAAATGGCAGATGGTTCTTAAATCTTCTTAAGACCAAATTACCCAAACACAACTGTCAACCTACCCCTCAGGGTTTCTAATAGGTGTGAAACAGAGATTCTTACCCTTCTCACAGGTCAAGTGAGTGCTCAAAAACTGTGTATTGGTGGTACTTCTTGCCAGAGCTTTTGCATCTGTGTAGAGCTGATTTGTCCTGCAGTGATGACATAAAATACTAACTGGTTCAGACAGCACAAACAACACATGATCAGACTGCAAACCTTTCTGGTCAGTGCACTGACTAGATGGCAAATGAAGCAGAGAGGGTCTGTTCATACCTTAGTTTTAAATCCAGAATCCTAGCTGGAGTTGTAGCTTTGCTGCCACCTTCATATATGACTCTAATGTGGCAACTCAAGGCTGCAGGGCAAACCCCAGCCCTGGCATTCCCTGTGCTCAGTGCTTGCTTTAGGTGCAGTTATTTGTGCCTGTGAAGCCATCAATGTTAATCAGTTAATTGCTAGTATATCTTGATGGGCATTATTTAGGAATAGAGCATGAGTAATTAGGATCTACTGCCAGGCTTGCTTTGTGAGTCTGCCTTCACTGTGCCCTTGCAGAGCTGTGTGTGCCTTGAGCACTGGCTGACTGGAAGGGACAGGCTCCCAGGGTGATTATACATTGTGTCCTTTGGTTTGCACCATCAGAGGAGGTGTGCACCTGGTGCTGGGGTTAGGAGCTGGAAAGTTGCATTGGTACTAAATACTGAAGGCTGCAGTTTGACAATAACCCTTTTATCTGTTATTTTCTGCAGTTGAAATTGATGCAGTCGGAGCTCAATGTTGAAGAAGTGGTAAACGACAGAAGCTGGAAGGTACTCAGTCATTTAATAGTGATGATGTCCTGTCCCAACAGACAGTCCTGCACTGGAGGTGTGGGACTGGTGCCTTGGGAAGCAGATTAACTGGAGGGCACTGTTGGGGGAAATGCTTCAAGTCAGTCATTTTCCCAGTTGTGTATGCAGAGATCAAAGCTCTTCAGTTGCACTGCCAAGGGAAGAAAAGCCTCTGATTTAGCATGGAGGAAGGACTGTGAATTATTCCCTGTGTCCCTTTCTCCCCCTTGCCAGTGGCTGAGCACTTGTAGGCTTTTCTGTGGTGACTTCTCTGAAGAGCTTTTCAGGGCCTCATACAATGTCTGAGAGAAGAGTCTTTCACATTTGCCTGTATCTGGTGCTGATCACAACTCTGAGCAGAGCCCAGGGGAGGGTGAGGCTGTAGAAGTTGAACCTTTTCCTGATGGAGTTTCTTCGGGCCTGAACAGATACTCCGTGGTGCAAAGGGCAGCCTTGCCGTGTCTCTCCTGTGTCAGCAGAGGGTGCAAATCACCCTCTGGATGATGGCCCCGAAGTCTGTCTGGTGATTTTAGCACTGAGCTTAAGTTCTGAGGTGGCTGTGTTGTGTCACTGCAGCATTTCACATCTGGCATCCTTTGCTGGTTTGATGTAGCTTCTCAGAGCTTTCAGTGCTGCAGAGAGAACCTCTTTCCCTCTCTAAATGCAAAAAGGATTGTTGCAAATAGCCAGTACTAGCTGCACCTTCCTTTTTAATTCCTACTTCATGATTTTAGTCCTCTAGATTGCACCAGTGTAAAACCAATACAGCTTTATGTCTTGGGTGTTCATCAGTAACCTGATGAAATGAGCATTTACAGAGTTTTCTGCATATGCTTTGTCATCAGTACACCTCTGTACTGTCCCAAAAAAAGCTAAGCATGCACTTCAGTTTAATTTTAAACCCACTCAGATCTGACTAAGCAATGCCACAGCCTTAATAACAACATGCTGCAGGTCACCAGGGGCAAATATTTTATGGTGACTCTGCTATAGGGGAACAGCCCCCACCCTAATCTTCATTCTGAAGCACCAAATTTAGTAATGATCCCAGAGGCTTCTTGTAGCTGCATTAAGCTTTTACTGGTGGCAAAACTGTTTGATTTTTCCTAAAGATTGAGAGTTTATAAACCGTGAGGTATGCATGGTGCAGGGGTACTTTAGCCTGCTGCTATATTCCCCAGCCAGTGTTCAGAGTGGGGCTTGAAAGGATAAATACTTCTGGGTTTTATCTCCAGCTCTGCTGTACTGTGCTCTGAATATACACATAAATTTCTCCTTTAGCTGCCTGTTAAAATGTCAGTTAGAACCAGTCATGGTTGCAGACTGAATGCAATTTGTTACATTAAAGTAACAGGAAAGATTATTGGTGTGCAGGCTGGTGTTTCACTGTTGTAGACTTGTGGTTGGGAAGTACACTTGTGTATTTCCATTAATCCTAAATAACTGAAAACTAATTGGAAAAATCTGATTAGGAAACAGATTTTTAAATGCTAGCTGACTGTAGCAATAGTGGCATACAGAAGATGCTACTTTAGAGAAATGCATGTGGAATTTGGATGATACCAAACAAGGAATTGAGTTTCAAACAAGACACTTGCATTAGTCTCTGTCCAGCACCTCCAGATTGGAGTTCATTGTTGGAGTGGTTTATACAAATATGTAAAAGCCAGCAAAATCAAACTTTTGCATAGTAACATGCATTTTAATGTTTCTCAGCCATTGTTTTTCCTGAAAAATGTCTGATAAATGAGAATAAGCACTTCTCAGGTAGACCAGTGGAGTTAAATGGCCTTAGTAACACACTAAGATCTGTGAGCCAGTGATTCTAAAAGTAGGAGGCAGTGTTAATCAGAGTGCAGTGTTGATCTTCCTGCCACAGGTTGTGGAGTTACTGTTGAAGATACTTTGAAAGTTAGTGTGATAGCAAGCAAGCTGGTGTGTTGTTTGATGCTAGAGACCCTTGCAGTGCTTTAGAGAGCATTTCCAGCACCCTTTTAGACATTATTCCATTAAAATATCATTAACAGACAATGGACAAAAAATGGTGTGATTTGTTTATGAGTAAAATGTTTCTTAATTGGACTTCATGCTTTTTGCTCCTAATTTCTACAGTTTCATCCTATCACTCATCTCAAACCTTTACCTCATCTGAACTTTTCCAGAGGTGTCCATTCCATGTGGTAACATAATGGCTGCACATTATTGTGTGTGAAAAAACTGTATCACAGCTTTTGCTTTCTGCAGTATGAATCAGTTTGTAATACGTGTCTATTTCTTTAAATAAATTAAATTTGAAAGGTAGTTGAAAATTGCTCCAAAATTGTTGAGAAGCAATGCTGTAACTAATATGTGCTTCAGGCTTCACTTTTGCTGAAGTTGCCATAGGTTCTGAACTGTGAATAAGATCTGCTGTAGAAGATTTTAGGAAGATAGAGCTTGAAACTGTGTATTTATATAAAGTGTTGGATAACTTCCCCAAAATTACAAGATCACTCACTTTGCACATAAAGCCATTGGGAGAGTTCATGAGACTTCATATCCTAATGATCACAGGCACTTGGGTCTGCCACATCTCTGGACAGCTTGGCAAAACATGCTCTTGTGGGAATGCTGGTGGGACAACCAACAAATGACCTGCCAGAGCCTCAGCTTGGTGTCAGGTGGTGCTTGTGTTGCTTTCAGGACTTGTGCTGGACAAGTTTGGATAAAAACTGACAAATAACTAAATGGCTTGTGAAGAGCACTTGCAGCCTTTGTGGGAGGCTGTGTGTTTTGCTTTGGATTCAGACTGCCTTACTTTAAATAGTCATGTTTTTTGGCCCTCCTTAGGGCAGGATGGCAGCAGTTGAAGCTAAATATACACGATCCTCAGCATCCAGTTCTGGAGGCTAAATTTTACCCAGAGAAGGTGCCAGAGGTGAGTGAGGCAGGGGTGCTGTGCCCTTTGCAGGGAGTGCTGGCAGCATTGGCACAGGCAGGCAGGTCACTGGAAGTGTGCACGTGGCTTTCAGGAGCCCTTGCCCCTCTTCTTGGCTGTCATGCCAATGTAAAATGTGCCTGCTCAGGAAAGACAGGAATACAGCACCCAAGTTTGAATGCCAGAGTGAACCTAATAGAACACAACCATTCAGGAGCCTTCCCATGATTATTTCCCTCTCTTTTAAAAACAAAAAGGCATCAGCATTTTTGATGGTAACAGCCTGCCAGGATTAAGAGTCTGCATTTTCTGAGGGAGAACACTTTAGTGCTGTGGAGTCTCCCAACATCAGGCTGCAGACTTTGGATTTACTAAAGCCAGGAGTGGAGGTGAATGGAGATGGATGTCTTGGTAAGTGCCATTTATTGATACCTCAGAGCTGGGCAGCTTAAGATGGGTGCTACATGAAGAAGTAGTTGCCGAACTGTCTGTGAAGTTCTGCTCATTTCCTGGATGGGGTTGATTCACTTTTGCTCTTCTGTTTTGGTGTCTCAGGTATTTAACGAGCGGTGCCGAATTCACTACAAGCCTCCGAAGAGTCAATGATGATGTGGGGTATTTTCCATCAAGGTGGTCCATAACTGTGAGAGACAAACTGGAAAGAGACCTTGGGTGAGCTGAATTGGGACCCTCCAGAACCAGTAGAACCCAGTCTAAGAGAAAACAACTCATCTTTTGTACAAACTATGTGAACAAATGAGTTTTATAGTATTAAAACAATTTTCAATCAGAATGCAAAACTGGCATCTTTCTTGAACTTCTGCAGCTTCAGTGACCCCACAGGGGAAGAAAGAGTAAAACCTATCCTGAGCAGGGAGGAGAAGGCTCTCCCTGAGCTGGTGCCTGCTAAAATATCAGTGAACATGGTCTTTCTGTGGAAATAATCTGCTGAAGTATGAAAGGAAGTAAAAATTGCAGACTGATCAACAAGTGTAGTAGATTCAGCATTTCTGAAAGTAAGAAGAGACCAGCCTTGGTTCTGAACTGCTCAACATGAGCAGCAGTGGCTCAGAGCTGTGTATAGGTACAGGTTTGCCATTGCTCCTGCAACGCTGACAGGCAGCATCTGCTGCTTGCTGCCCTTTGGTCTGTTTCCAAGTTCTGGAGTTTTTCTGTATATAGGGGATGTGGTGTCGATTAAAACCACTTAAGGTTGGAGCTGAAGATGTCTCTCATTTGGAAATGAGACTGTTCAGGGACCCTTTTTTGTCCCTCTCTCTGAATATTTAAGAGTAGTTGTAAAGGTGAATTGTGTTTGAGCTGAGGAAACAGCTGTGCATACCTGATCCTGCTGATCCTGGCCATGGTGTTGTGTTTAGAAAGCTTGAATGCAGCACCCCTGCAGTAACACAGCATTTAAAGGCAGATAAGTAGGAGGAAAGCTGAATTGCTGCAATTACACCTGTATATTTTACTTTTATTTTGTTTTTATCTCAGATAGGCTTACAGTCAAGTGACAAGATCTGTGTGGTTGCCAGCTGATATGATCTTAAGAATCACTGAACTTAAACAGAGCCCTGAAAATACAGGCCCTGTCTTGCAAACACTTTGGAATTCAGCAACAGCAATGAAATTACTGGATATACTCTCACATCCCTAAAGCTTTGCATATGTAGGGAGTGGGAAGTAAATGAAGGAATGTGTACCTGTGTTATTGAGAGCTGGCAAAGATCTGTGCAGCAGCATCTGTTTTATAGATGCTCTTTTTTTCTCAAAGTACTGCAACTGCTTTATGCAGAACATTGAGTTGGAGCACTCATTCTTGAAGATTTCTCCTTGTTTTTCTGCAACTCTGAAAGCAGAAAATGTGTTTGTTCTTCAGCTATTGAATTCTTATAATTGTTTATCATCAAAGTGTAAATCAAATACTGCTCATCACTCAGGGCTGAATTGGCACTAATGAAATTTCAACAGGAGATGATGGTCAGTTAATGAGATGTTGAGAACAGTAAGTTTTGATTTCAAAGTTGGTACTTTATTATTTATTAGACACTCTAGGATAGGTGTCTAAAATATTTGTTCTCTCCAGGGCTTGGATCAACTGCAAGGACAAATTATCCTTTTAAGCCAGTTGTACAATAGAAACTTCTACGAGTGTGTATAGACTTGGGTCAATAGTCTTGAAATAATAATTTTTTATTTCTGCATAAACTAGAGACTGTAATGAGAATTAATCATTGTCTTCCTTTATCCATCCAGATGTTCGCTCAGCTGTTGTGGAAGGCTTCTTCACTTAAGCAGATACTGTGCTAAATTACCTGTGAAATGGATGTGATACACAGATTTTTTTTTTTTCTTTTTTGCATTAGTTATGAGGAAAACTATGTTAAAAAACCCCAAAACCCACAACACCAAAAAATCAGCACAACATAGAATTCTTTTCAGTTTGAATATAAGGCCAAGCTAGTAGTCCTATACAAACCTGAGTATGGGAAACTGCTACCATGAGAAGACTCCTGAATCCACAGCATCCCTTCTTGGGGTGATTGCATACAGAGGGTTGCAGTAAGACATTGAATTGCTTTATATAGTTTGCTCTGAGCACAGAGGGTGTCTCTTACAATAGTCCACAGCAAATCTGGTGGCTCAGAGGCTGCTTAACGTTGCTGTTGAACTTGATGGAACACAAAGGTGAGTAAATGGAACTGCACGCCACACTTTGGGTGCGGGCAGGAGGACGCAGCTCTGCTGGTTCCTGAGAGCCTCAGAGCTGCGTGTGGAGTGGGATGTTCTGGAATGTGTGCAAACAGCATCGGTGTGAGCTGTGTGCCACACTGAACACAGGCAGGTAAATTCTGTGTCTAGGGACCCCTGAGGATTCCAGGATGGTGTTTAGTCAGGGATTGAACCTTGCTTCAACATTACAATTGAGGTAGTCACAAAATTACTGTTTGCTGTCATATGGGGGTCAAATAGTGGACACTACAAACAGCAGAATTTCTTCCTTTCTCTGGTTTTAAGTTCTATTTCTGCAAGTAAAGACATTTGAGCACAGCTGATGGCCGTGTCCAGAGTCCTGTGGGTGCCTTGCCTCTCCTACTGGGGCTTTCCCAATGCTTGCAAGTGGTGAATAGAGGTGGGCAGATCCCACATGCTTGGAAAGTCCTCTCAAGCTTGTGCATCTTTCCTTCTGTGAAATAGAAAGATGTGTTGTTCTTTTTCTAGCATTTAGTGCTGTTGTCTTCTGCAGCCTGTAGGCATGAAAGACTGATGAAACAGGTAATTTCTTTATAGAATATTTTTAACAGTAGATTTCAGTTGTCTTGAAGCAGACTGAGAGGAAGAGGCTCAGCATAGGCTGGGCCATGATAACTTTGTGCTGCTGAAGGTCAGGTTTCTGTTGATCCTTTTTCATGTACAATGAAATCTTTCAAAATTGGGATGGGTAGCAGGAGGGAAAGCCTTTTTTGCAGACCAGCACGTTGAAAATCAAGGCTGTTGTTCCTGTGATGATGAGAACAGATCTTCACCTGGTACATGGAGGGCTGCTTTCCTCTAGAAGCTCTTAAAGACATTCAGACCATGTCATGTCCAGCCACAATTACATGTCACTGTGAAACCAGAAGACTTACCTTACTGACTTGGCTTTCACAATCATTTCTACAGAGCTGACTTCATTCCTGGTTTAAAAATTACTTGTCAGTACATGACCCTGGGGTTTGGATTTGGTGGAGGTTATTTTGTTTGCTTTTTTTTGTACTGGTGTTTTTATCAGCAATAGCTTGGCACTCTTAAAATTGCTTAAACAGGACCAGAGAGTAGTGGTCTGCCAATGGTAAAGATTGTGTTGGAATAGTACATGGTGCAAGATGTTACTCAGCTTCAAAGCTGTACAGAATGCCAGTGGTGGTTTCCCAGCAGAGATTCTCCAGGATAGCAGCAGCACAGTGTCATGAGAGGAAGCTGCCAGTTGTGCTGATGAAGAGTAGACTGACCTGGTACGTGATACCAGCCACATCTCAAACATCACAGGGGGCACACTCACCTTGTTGTGCAAGAGATGACATGGAGGCAGCTGTTCTTTTCAAGGCAGTGCTCCAAATCGTGGTTCATTACATCCAAAACTTGATGTAGAGAAGGGCGGGTGGAGGTGGAGATTGCCCCAGATAATGTTGATCAATTGCCTCTGGTCATCTTTGATCACAGGTCTGTGAAATGTCAGCACTTCAAAGTGATTTAATGAAATACTTGAAATACTGCATCCCAGTCTTAGAAATACCACTTTTTGGTATTTTGGGACAGCCATTAGCACTGCCATGGAAAGGAAACAGTCTGTTTGACTCTGTAAACTTCAGCATCAACTTGCTGATACTTAGGCTTGATTTTTTTTTTCCCCTTCTGCACAACTGTGCATTCTAGGGAAGGAAAAAAAAAAAAAAAAAAAAAAGTTGTTATGCTTTAAAGTAAAAAACCAGCAAACCCAGAAATATGGAGTGAATGATTTCCATGCAACATTAATATCTTCAGTTTCACACCTAGATTCTTTCCAAAATTATAAATGAACCCTCCTAGACTTTGTGCTCAGTGTATTCATTGCTAGACAGAATCAAGAGTTCTCCAGGAGTGTACTACTGCCCTAGGGATCTTAACATCCCTTCCCAAGGAAATTAGCAGGTTCTGTGTCCTGGTGAGTGGACAGGTTTATAAAATACCCTGTTTAGTACTGGTGCTGTGCAGTTGTTGGACACATTCTCTGATTTCTGGCCTTAGTAAGGTGAACTGGGTCTTCCAGTTCCTTAACTTATCTGTCCTGCTGTATGAATAAGGGGTGTGGAACATGATCAGCATTTGAGTGAATCAGCAAGCTCTTCTACAAAAGAAGATTTGAGTTGTCATCAGCTCCATGAATAGGACTTTGAGGAACTCCTCATCTGGAGAGAAGTTGTTGAAAGTGGCAGAATTCCAGTTTTATCAGCTGCCACTCCCTTTATTGCTGAGTATAGGAAGGATTTTTCTCTCCGTTCACAAAAATATTCTCAGGAAAATGAACTTTCCTCAAATGCTTTTTGTCTGCTTCCATAGCACTGTTGCTCAAGTCTATAAAATTCTGCAATATCTTTTTCAGTAACATGCTGTAATACTCATCAATACTGTTGAGTATAGGGCTCCTACAGCCCCAGTTTCTCAATTTCAGGGGCTTTCTACCAAAACCCCTGGTTTTGAAGTCAGATCTGAAGTACTTTTTACAGTGTCTTGTATCATTTTTTATCTGTGAGGAGGAGATTCAGTAGTATGGGCAGGACACAGATAAGTTGCTATTGCCATAAACCCACCTCTTCCTAGCAAATTCCCTAATACTGATCCCAGCAGAAATGCCCATTGCCTGTGTGCAGCACATATTCTCATTTCATCTGCTGCCATGTACCTGCCCCTACAGACTAAAAAGTGTCTGGTCTGTTCCTGCTTCTCTGGTCCTTGCTCTAGAACAACATTCCTCTTATTTGCTGCTGAGGGGGATGGCAGGAATATTGACCGGGAGTAATTTTATCTGTGATCTTGAAGTGTTAGTTCTCCCTTACCAGGGAGGGTTGCTAGCAGTTATTAGCCTTCCCCCAGCTGATTCTGAGCTTTGTGCATTCACATTCATGAGGCTGATTGTGCCATGACACTGTAACTGCAGAATGAATACTTCTGACTATATGTTCTCATGTGATCTGTTTCAACAGCATACGTTGAAAATGGGACAGCTTTTGTGTTTTTTGGTTGTACTTTGTCTTCCAGGAAATTGGCACTAGAGTTAAAAAGCAGATTTTATTGCACATTCAGTTGCTATTATGATTGCCTGAATGCAGCTCTTGGTTTGATGGGAAAGGAGCAGAAATACCTTATTTTCAGTACTTACCTGAATCTGGGATGGAATTATTTTCTACTTCTGATGCTGGTGTTTACCTTGTCAGCTTTTTGGTCAGGCAGAGGGAAGTCAAGTCACTGGATGTAAGATGCTGTCTAGTTGTGTTTCCCCATTTGGAAGGATTTTGAGAGAATAAAATTTCAAGTTAAACGGGACCTACGTTAAGGCAAGTGCTGCATCATCCTCTGATCGGTAAAGGTATTGGGAAATACTGGGTGTGTCTGATTTGTTTCTCAAGATCTCCGCCTAATCTTCTGCACATGGGTGGGGAAGCAAGAAATTCCAGCTGCAGCCCAAACCGACTCTCTTTAAGATGTGGGTGACTGGAGGCTGATGTCTGCTTTTCTTTTGGATGTGAAGACCATAAGCACTTCTTTGAGTGTTTTTTACATATATTAATAATATTGCCAGTGCTTTACATTGCTTTCCCTCCCCCTTTTCCCCTTTTGTCTCCTTCTCCAGTTCAGTAATTGTAGGCTCCATATGTTGCAGGTCACATGGTTCTATGACACATGTGTGTGTCTGTATATATGAGATGCCTGGGGACTCTGCTCAGACTGCGCTGAACTTCCCTCTTCAGAGCTGCTCACCATTTCAGAGAAGTCACTTGCCACCATGATGACTGGGGGTTTATCTGAGACCAAGCCAGCTACTCCAGAAATTCAGCAGCTTGTTAACCAGGTGAGTTGCACCCTCTCTCTAGATTAAGTTGTGTGCAAAGATGCTATTTCTGAAGCTTGTGTAAAGCCTGGGAGACTGAGACAGGTTTTAAACTGAAGAAGCTCATGCTGAAAGTGGGAATCCCCTTGACTGGCAGTGTTTTCTCAGCATTCTATTTAGGAAGTGCCTTGGTAAGACTGAGACAAACCACTTCTCTGTCTCCTCTGTCCATGGCCAGGCATGGTACTGGCTCCCTTCAGTTAATGTCTGTGTGAAGTTCCAAGCCCAGCTCTGCTATGCCAGCAGTGAGGTCACTTGTTTGAAATGAGAGGTGGCATATTGGAAGGGAAAAGGTTGTACCTGATAGAGTTAATTCCTCAGTGAAGGACTGCATAGGACAAACCAGATGCTAGTATGCAGTAAAGAATTATAAATGCAGGACAAAGCTTTTAAATTGTGTGTTCCCTGCTGGCATTATGTGTTTTCTAGAGTCACAGCTGTGATACAGGGGCTGCTGCTGGGGCAAGATGAGCTTGGCACAAGGCAGGCCACTAAGTGAGCCCAGGTGCCAGGTGGTTGGTTATAGGCAGTGGTCCTGAACTGGAGAGCTGTGTGAGCAGCACCTCACACAGATGTGATCCTCTAATGCCCTGTAGTGCAGCAGCTCTTTTCAATGAAAGTACAAAATGCATCCTGAGGAATGAAAGGGGTTTCCACCCACCCACCCAATTGTCTTCACTCTTCTGCCTCTGAAAGATGAGCTCTTGTCCCTTCGGCAATTGTACTCGGGCACTCTTTGAGAAGACAAAACCAGGAAGTAGCAGGGCTGAATGCATTGGCAACGCTGCAGCACACTCACTATACCTGATGTGCAGGGCTCCCAGCTCTCTCCTTTGCTATGCCACTGAGGACAGAGTCTGCACATCCTTCCATCCAGCATCCTTCCACATCTTCCATGATCTTACAACTGAGACCAGGCAGCCCAGTATTCTGACAGGGCTCTTTTCCATAGTCTACAGATGGAGGGGATAACTTTAACATCCAGTTTACTGATTAGAAGATACTCCATGTTACTCCATGTGTCTGATTGAGCAGAGTGATACAAATATGCTGGCAACTTGATGTAGGTCTGAGTTACTCTTAGCAAAATGTAGCGACTGCAAACCCAGTTCTCTGAGGATATCAGCGTGATCTGCACTCCTGGTGTATAACACCCTCTGTGTCACCACACTGGACATCCTCAATCACTGGGAAGGGGGATGTGGGTTGAAGTCAGCTCTAGCCAGCAGTTTTCTTCAAAATGCTTTTGTCCAACCATTTAGTTTTTATACTCAGAGTTGGGCAGAGCCATGTGTTCACTCCCCACATGCTGGTCTGGCTAACTCAGGGGCGTGTTCGCTTTCTCTTACTGAACTCCGGGAGTTATACCACCACATTGTCCCCTCCACTGACAGAGCTATTTATCAAAAACACCCTGTGGTCAGCCTTTGTGTTGAGATAAAGTCAGCTCATTTGCAAAAGCTGTGATCAGTGACACCCTGCATTATTCCCTGAATTTCATGGGTGGAACCATCACCCTCCCCAGCTCCTCTGAGCCTTCTTCCATTACAGGGCTTTCTTGGTCAGTCACAGCTGGGGTCACCAGAGTTTGGGACATGTACATGTGGGAGGGCTGAAGTTTGGGGTAACTGGTTAGTCAGAGATGATTTACTGCAGAGAACAAATGGATTTACTGCAGAGCAGAAATGAATGATCTACAGTTGTTTGGGAGGCACCAACTGAATTACTTTGGAGCAGTACAACTCTTCCTTCTATGCTGGCAGGAATGTTTGAAAGAACAGCACTTGCAGAGATCAGAAATTCCCTTTTACCTATGGAGGGAAGACCCTAGCAAGGGACTTGTAGCACCTTTGTGTATTTGCCATTCTTGTTTCCTCATGTTTAAGATGGGGCCAGCTGAGGGCTGTGAAATTTAATTTATGAGTCTGTAAAATGCCTCAAGCACCATACTAGATACTGAGCTTCATTTTCAATGCTGTGCTGTGTTATTTATGGGTCATCAGAAGTCTTGCAGTGTGTATTGGAGGTGTAACCACAGCACTTGGGTGTCTATGAGCAAACAGGCACTTGAAAATGTGAATGCTGGTTTCAGGCAGTGTTAATGCCCCCAGAGTACAGGGTATATATGGAATCTGAAATGTGGATAGTGCAAAGTTTGTTTGATTCCAGAAAAGGACTGATCCTAATTTTAGTGTTCTTTTGTTCTCAGTAACTTCAGGAAAATGAATACAGATTGTTCTTTGCCCTTTATTTTCTTCAAGGTGAAATTTCTGCCCTGTGCTGAGAGCAGAAGAGAGAACACTTCCCGCTCTTTCCCCCTTTCCAGAGGCTTTGGTACAGTTGTCTATGGAAAATATTCTTGTGGAAACCTTGTGCTGGGGAAATCCTGCAGTCCTTCCAGCATAGGTGTCACTATTTCATGAAGCATTTCTGGGGGCTTTTATGCTCTGCTGAGCAGGGAAGCAATTCCTATGATTTCAGTGAAGTTGTGAGAAGCATTTGCAGAACTTGGGATGCTCAAGGTCTGTCTGCTCATGGGATTACACAATTATTTACTTATACCTGTGCCTTATATCTAGCCATCATTAGTGAGCTGAGGAATGTTATTTATTTGGCCTCCCTGTTTTACAGCTGTTGCCCAAAACTGAGGAATGTTTTGGGTTTAGGATGCTGTTAGATAAGAGCTAGGAATGTTACATTTTTTCACCCGAGGATTAAAGCACTGTTTTCCTTCTTGATTTTACTGATGGCTCAGCTTGTAAATAACAAATAGGGGATATAGTGGTCAAAGGAGAGAGAGCAAAACTGGAGAGAAGTGACTTTGTTTTGTTTTATTCCGAGAGAGGAATATCATGCACCAAAAGTTGCTACTTAGGCGCATTCTAGGAGGCCCCTGCCCCAGTCAGCTGGAAGGTTGTTGGGAATTAAAATTTCCCTGGTTTGCCAGAGTTAGCAGCTCTTCAGCTGAAAGTATAGTTGTCTGTTCCTGAGGATAGAAACCCTGTGGAAGCTACTCAGCAGAAGAGCAGGGTAAGAGATCATGAGGAAGCTGAATAGGATGATAATTTCTGGCTCTTTGGAAATGATCTGGATGTTTCTTGGATGCTTTCTGTGGCCTTCCCGCTAGGAAGGAATGTCATGGGAGTGGCAGCCAGCTGTAGGTGCTTGTGCTGGGAAAGTTAATTAATTCAGTGGGTTCCTGTGAAACAGGTGGGTGGTGAGAAGCACTGAGGTACTGCGAGCCTGGCCCAGGGCAGCCTGAGCAGGCTGGCACTGACACTGCTCCTCTGCCCAAACTCAGTAATGCATCCAGGCATCAGTGTGGGTGTCACGTGCAGAGGGGCACTGCGCCACCCAGCCTAGGAGGGATTGTCTCTGCTTTCTGTGTGGTGGTCATGCAGTCATCATGAAATGGGAGAGTTTTTAATTCTTGGAGAAGTAAGGAAGAGCAACAGCAAAACCTTGGACTTCTGGAGGGAAGACTTTGGCAGACTGGTGAAAGAGTCCCTTGGGAGGCAGTCCTGAAGGGCAAAGAGATCCAGGAAGCCTGGGCATTCTTCAAGAAGGAAATCCTAAAGGTGCAAGAGCAGGGTGTCCCCATGTGCCAAAAGACAAGCTGGTGGGGAAGAAGACTGGACTGGCTGAACAGAGGGTTTTAGCTGGAACCCAGGGTAAAAGATAAGAGTTTATAAGCTGTGGAAGATGGGGCAGGCAATTCAGGAGGATTACAAATGTGTTGTGAGGTTATGCAGAAAGTCAGAAAGGCAAAACCCCTATTAGAACTTAACTCTGGTCACTGCCAAAAGCAATGACAAAAAGTGTTCTTAAGAATACATAAGCAACAAAAAGAGGGCTAAGGAGAATCTCCATCATTTGCTGGATGTTGGGGAAATCATTGCCACAAAAAAATATGGAAAAGGATGAGGTACTTAAACCCTTCTTCATCTCAATCATTAGTAGTCAGACCAGTTGTCCTAAGGGTACCAGCTCCCTGAGCTGGAAGACAGAGACAAGGAACACTACGTAGCTCCCACAATCCAGCAGGAAACAGTGACCTGCTTCTCCAGGTGTAAATCTACGGGGCTGGATGGAATCCACCTGAGGGTACTGAGGAAGCTCATGGAAGAGCTCTCCAAGCCATTGTCCATGGATTACCAGTGGTCCTGATGAATCAGGGAGGTCTCACACAACTGGAGTTTGGCTAATTTGATGCCCCTCTAAAAGAACATCTACAAGAATGGTAGGAAGGAGGATCCAGGGAACTACAGACCTGTCAGGCTGAGCTCAGTTCCAGGGAAGGTCAAGGAACAGCTCATCCTGAGTGCCATCACACAGCGTGTGCAGCAACCACGGATTCAAGCCCAGCCAGGATGGGTTCATGCAAGGCAGGTTCTGCTTGACCAACCTGATCTCTCCATGACATGTTGAGCGGATGAGGGAAAGGCTGTGGATGTTGTTTCCCTGGACCTTAGTACAGCCTGAGACTCCAGTTCCTGCAGCTTTCTACTGAAGAAGCCTGGACAGATGCACTGCTCACTGGGTGAAAAAACGGGCTGGAGGCCGGGCCCGGGGAGAGGTGGTTACATCTGGCTGGTCTGAGGTGGTGCACCCAGGGCTCCATGTTGGGGCCAGCTCTGATTAACATCTTTATTGATGATTTGGACAAGGGGTTTGAGGGCGCTTTCAGTCACTTTGTGGAGATTCGTTATGGGAGTATGTGTGAAAGGATGAAAATTGGAGTTGTATATGTGAAAAAAATCGCCAAGTATCAACCTGCCAATCATTTTTCCCTTTCTTTTTACAGGTGAAGCCACAGTTTCAAAGCCAGGCAAACACGAACTGTGCTGTCTTTACAGCCATAGTATATAAGACTCAAGTGGTTGCTGGGACCATGTACTTTATTAAGGTTTGTATATCTTGTAGGAGTGTTTTGGAATGAAATTATACAGGTGACTGGCAGAGTGGCTTACAGCTAGAAAGAGAGCAAACATAATAGGAAACTGTCTGAGTAACAGAAGTGGGGACTACCTCCAAATGCTTATTAAATTCCTCTGTTTGGCACTACTGTAAGCAGGAATATAAATATAAAAATTTGCTGTGCTTATTCAGATGTGACTGGTAAGCTTTTTGGGATCATCCCCCTCAAGCACTATAGACTGCTTTCCCAACTCAAATTATTTCAATGAGTATAACTAGTCTCCTGTTTCCTTTCAAGGCAGAATAATATCTGAGTCCTTCAGTTGTGTTTGTTGGGATGAAATTGAAATCAGCTTAAGGAACTGATGGAAAAATAGAGTCAATTTTGTAATGCAGTGCACACATCTGCTGGCTAGTTTTGCATGCAAGTAGGTGTGTTGATGTTTTGGTTCTGTGTCAGGTGCTGCAGAGGTACAGCCTGCCTGCTGGTTCTTTCTGTATTTTCAAAACCCCCTCTCTGCTGCAGAGAAAAAATGGGTAATGCTTAATTTGGAGCCCTCTGATAGCACCATTCCTCCTCTACTGGAAACCCTGACTGATGGATGTGAGCAGCTTTCTGTGAAGTAGCACAGAAGAAATGGCTGGGTGTATTTTTCCTCTGAAGGCCAGCAAGCACTGCTGAGCAGCAGGCTGGCCTTTGGAGCAGAGCAGGCATGGCCTGTGACTGCTGAAACCTCACATGTATGTGTGGGCATGCGCCTGACAGGGTATGTCATATTCCAAGGGAATGGGAATAATTTATTAGAGGAATTGGCCTGTAAAGTCTGGGGGAGAGTAATTCTGCAGAGAGACACTGTGAGCATTAGCTCCACACTTCTCATACTTAGTTGATATCAGGAAGGACAGGTGCTGCCAAACCTTCGTTTTTCCCAGGTGCTTCCTTAAAAGAACTCTTAACTCAGAAACAAAGATTCATGTATTACTGAACTTTGAAGAAATCCATTTGTAACACTGGGAATGGATGATTTGTCTCTTCTTTCCAAATTTTACCAGTGATGGAAAACAGCTCCTCATTTTAGCATTTAACAAGATTCATTCTTTTATATTTCTGAATCTTCCACCTCACTGATGTTTTACCAGCAGACTTACAGCTGAGCTGCAACCCAGACCAAGCACAGCGCCCCACTGCAGCCACCACAAAGCACGTAAAAACCTCTTGGAGCCTACGGCATTAAAGTTGCCGTGTTCCTTACCGAGGGAGAGTTTGGCACCTGTTGTGTTTGGCTCTCTAAGAATGAAATTTTACAGCTTCCTACCAAGTCTTTACGTGAGGACTTTCTAGGAGGGAAGACAAATTTCTTTGTAAGAGTATTTATTGCAGGCACTCCCATGCACTCCCAAAAGCACTGGGGTACGTCAGGTTCCTTGTTCAGGCACTGGTGTGTTTGGAATAACTCTGCAGACCAGGGATCCTGGCTTTCAGGTTGTCATTGCTTCTCAGGACCATGTGCAGGTCTTTATGTATTAGATCTTTCTGTACCCTTTGGAAGCTGACATGGTGTTTGCACTGTGTCCCACCCCCAAATCGTGGAGGTTTCCTCATTGTCTCCTACGAGTGTATCAGGAGGTTGTGAGCAAATGTGCTGCCATCCTGGTGACTGAAATAGGACACCATCAAAACCTGTCTCCTGTTGCATCTTCTGGTGCTTCCACACCCAAGCAGTTCTGCTCATTCTCCCTTCACCTGAGTCTGAGGATTTTAATAGTTTTCTACAGATGCAGACAGTTTCTGCCACCAGTTACTATCCAGACTTTGATAAGAGCTGTTGAAGTAAAAATGAAGGTACATCTAAAATTAAGATCCTAGCAAAGATGTTCTTTCAAAAACGTAAAGAACAGCCTTTTGTTTGAACCTGCTTTGAGCCTATGATCCTCACTTGCCTATTCTTTTGGTTTCTAGGTCCAAGTTTCTGATGGTGAATATGTCCACTTAAAGGTGTTTGAGAGTCTTCCTCATGAGAACACAGGTCCCAGCCTTGTCGGTTTTCAGACTGGCAAAACCAGAGATGACCCTCTGACCTACTTCTAAGACATGATGTGTTGCAGTGCCTCACCTCTGCAAATCCTATGGGGATTCTGCCCATGACAGTAAATAAAATAAGTAAATAAAATAATAATGTCCGTATTTTCCTTTTGCTGCTGATATACCTGCAGGGGTCTTGTTATCTTTCCTGTCTGTCACAAGACTAAAACAAAGTATTTCTAATTAAGACATAGAATAAACATAACCTTACCTGGAATATAAAAAATACTTAAGGGAAAAAAGCTGGAATATAAAAAACACTTAAGGAAAAAAGCTGAGCAAGATAATAACCAATAGTGAAAACCAAAGAAGAGAACACTAAAGCACCAATCAAAGATGCCATCTCAAGTCAAAAGAAATGTTTATTGTTAAAAATGCATAAATGCTCATCCAGCCTAAGTTCCTTTCCAGGACTTTTCCATAGGACCAAGATCATAAGCAAGCTGGTTTGGTATTTTAAACTCACACACCCTCTACGGGACATTACATGCTACTGCTGCAAGAAGATGAGCATGATTACCAAGGGAATGTTTGTTTCAAGCTACTGTAAGCCTCTTTCTCTTCCTTACAAAATTGCTTCAGCTCGAGTCTCTCATCAGGTCTTTGCCCGTAAAATACAAAGTACAATTTAAATCTGCACATATATTCACAGTTACAAAACAACACAGAAAAGACCGAGGCTTTTCTTTTGTTCCTTGCTGCAAATATATGAGTGCTGGTGTCATTCCCCTTCTGATTTCCAGACCAAGGAAGTCCACAAACAGTATTCTCATTAAGTTGCACTAAAGCCTAAGTTGCAATAAAAGTAGGATTTACATTAGTGCAGGTAATAGGAGAACCCTGTGACTCTCAGGTTTGGAGATTGCACAGGAAGAGAATGGCATAAAAGAAATTGATTTTTCCACCATGATAAAAAAAAAAAAAAAAGACACATTTTTCCACCTTTGCTGGCACAGAACTCAACATTTTGCAGCCTGTAGAAAATGCACATAAGAACCAGCGAGGGAAACGCAGCAGAGAAGGTTGCTAGAAATAAGCCAGTTCATCATGCTTTGTCTTGCTGCCCTGGTAGCTGTGGAGGCTCAGCTGCTCATTCTCGTGGGGGAGGCTCTTGAACACCCGCAGGTGCAGGAACTCCTCATTCCCAACATGGACCTGCAAAGCATGAAACCCAGTGAGAAGATCCCTGCAGGAAGAGCAACCTGCAGCAGGAGGGGTGGCAGAGGCTGTGCTGGTTCGAGGATGGAGCAGCACACAGGCAGTAAGAAAAACCACTGGCTTGTTTCAAACCGGACTAGGAGCCATGACTTTGCAGAAATACCACCTAATCTTCCCATGAAAATGGAGAAAAGATGATCTCTCTGTTTAACAGATATGGAGTGGGGCTGGGAGGTGGATATTTGTGGCTTTTTAATGTACAATTTTTTTTCTTATTAAGGTCAAATCGTAAACATTCTCCTCTAGTTAAGAAAGGGAAAAACCCACCATTTCAAAGATTATACACATTAATAGAAAAGAAACAACCCAGGTTGTTGTTGCTCTACCTTGATGAAGTAGTTTGTTCCAGCAACCACCTGAGTTTTAAACTCCACTGCAGTGAAGACATCAAAGGTCTTCCCTTCTTTTTCTTCTAGCTGAGCTTTTACCTTAAGGAAACAATAGATTCTTTAAGGCTGATGCAAGATTCAAGTATTTAGGACTTAGGGCTTACAGTTCACTGCTGCTGAATTCCCAGACACAGAGTTACCACTTTTCCAAGACATCAAAAGATCAAAATGAATCATGTTAAGTTTTGTGTGAGAGCAGGACCAGGAATCTACGGAGGTAGCAAACTGAGTCAGAGCTGGGAGTCAGTCACTATAGGCTGACACCAAGTCTGGAAAACACTTGGCAGTTCTTTCAGCATGTCTGCTGGAATCTGTGTTTTCAAATTGCAAAACAGTGCTCAAGAAGTCAAAATAACCTGTTCAGTACCCAAGAGGGAGCCATGAACTCCTGAGATGCAGCTCTTCTCTCCTGCACTGGGCACTCTAGCACATTGTGGCTGTATGGAAAAATCTTAGTCAGGAAAGCAGATTTCAGCCTTTGTTTTGCAAGCCAAGATAGGTTAGTCTTAAGTCCTTGCTTGAAAGTCCTTGCCTGCTCCAGGCTGCACCTCCTGCACTGCATCATTGCACAGCCCTCCCTTCACTCCCAAGGCAGTGGTACCAGCAATGAGTAGATCCTCCAGCTATATGGGGTACTTATCCTTTTCCTAAATACAAGGAAAATAGATACATCTGCACTCCTGCCTAAATCCCACAGGCTTCCATGGGGAAAAACAAGTGCCAACTTGTCACTGGTCAGGTGCTGTAGGTGAAGCAGGAACAGAAGAACCATTCCTGCAACGGGATGTGTTCTCCCACCTCTCCAACTCCCAGAACTCTGGTGCCTTTTCAGAGACCATCCTGTCCCTGAGAGCTGTGTCCATGCTTTTTATCTTCTCTGAGAGGCCATACCTCTACACTTCCTCCAGGTTATGATCAGTATGTCACAAGCAAGATAATGATGTTTGAACACTTTCCTATTTGTTCTTTACTATATGGAAATCCAAGCTGCATTCTAAGATGCACTGAAGAAACTCCATGATTCACTCCTGCCTCCTCCCCTTTTCCCGAGTCAGAGGTTGGAGCAAGTGCTCAGTTTTCATCCCACTTTTACAAATTTTAAGCAGCAGGGCAGACACAGGTCTCCCACTGGCCCTGTCCTGTGCTCCTTTAGCAATCCTAGGCACTGGGCAGCTTTCTGAGGTCACTCAATCACTCCAGCTCAGCACATTTTGTATTTCCACCAGGAAGCTGAACACTGGACCCTGGCTACAGACAGCTCAGAGTCCTGCAGCTGCAAGCTTATCAGGGTGTTTGTGAGTCACCACAGCATGTGACAAACCAGCATCCTGCCTCAGGGTGCAGAGGGAGATCCCAGACAGAAATACTCTCCCAAAGACCTGGTTCTTGATCTCTGTCTGGATTTGGGAATCCTGGAGGACAGGAGCCAGCACTGTGTCCTAGTGGTACAAAGTTAATGGCATACTGGGCTGCATCAGCAGGAGCTTAGCCAGAAGACAGGTGAGTGATTATTACCCTTTACTCGGCCTTTGTTAGAAAATGTGCCCCCGTACAAGCCAGACACCAATGAACTGTAGTGAGCCCAGTGAAGGGTCACCAGGAGCACTCATGAGCACACCAGGATGGCTGGAGCACTTGTGCTGTGAGGAGAGGAAGAAAATGAGCTTACTCAGGGAAGAGAAGGCTTTGAAGAAAACTTTCCAGTACCTACAAGAGGCCAGGGTCTTTACAGGGACGAAACTTTCCACATGGCAGAAGAATGAGACACAGTGGTCATAAACTGAAACTGGAGGTTCAGGCTGGATATAATGAGAAACCTTTCCCCTGAGGACTGCACTACAGCAGGAGTCTATCCTTGGAAGTTTTCAAGACTGACAGGACAAAGTTCTGAGCAGCCTGAGGATGCTGACCCTGTGCTCATGCAGGAGGTGCAGTCCCTTCCCACCCAAACAATCCATGATTCAGTCACAGGGCTGGAAATGATCATGCCCTGAAGACTCTCCACTGCCCTGCATGGCCTATTTGCCCTGCACTGCCAGAGCAGTTAAATAAAAAGCAGATGGCTCACAATCACCCTGGATAAGCTCTGCCACAATTACCAATGAGGAGCCAAAGCTGAACAGGCCTGTGTGGAAATCCTTGCCGTGAGGAAGCTGTTCCTATGGAATTATTCCTAAGCCAGACACTGCCAAAGGAAGCCTTCCTGCCCTGTGTGACACTACACCCACTGTGGGTCACAAAACTGAACAACATTTGGCCATCACAAGGATTCTTATGAAACTGTAAAATGAAAGCAAGAACTGGAAAAGCAGGAACGGGGAATATGTTTATGGCAAGCAAACTGGCAGGCTCTAATAAATCTCCAAAAAGACCTGACTTTAAACAAACAAAATTATTTGAGAAGGCTACCTCGATTTAACAAAACTAATGTTTTCTCCAGCAGTGTCCAGATGACGATATGAGTGCATGGGCAAGTTTCAAGTTTGAGTTTTCCCACCTGTATTTCATTAAAGGAAGTAATTTAAACTGGCAGTCAAACCAAGCTGGATAAACTTTAAAAGTACTTAGGTGATTTAAATGAAAACATGAGTTTTTTTGTAAATTCTGCTCACTTCTGAATCCAACAGGGTTATGTTTTTGGATTACCAAACCACTGCAGTGTGCTAGAGAACAGAAAGTCAGGATTTCAAACCTAGTTTTAAGCCCATGTTAATTGCATATCTGCATTACCTTTAACATGACATGTAAGCCTTTTCAGGTCAAAGCAATAATTGCAACTCCCAGCAATTCTCAATCATGTGCTTATTACTGGAAACTCAGGCTGGTGCTTAGGAGATGCACATTTCTCCTTTTTCCTAAAACACAGAATCCTCAGACTGTACAAGGCAAACTTTAATTTCAGTAGCTGCTGTGCCTCTGGGTGCTCTGTATGTGTTTGAGAACTCCTCCTGCCTGGGGAACAAAGTGTCAGAAGCTGGAGCGCATCCTTAATTTTTGCTCTCTAAATCACCATATCTTAGCCGATAAAGGCAAAAAGCAGAAGGAACTTGAGTTTCCATGACAAAAAGAAGAACGTGTGGTTTGAAAGAACTTAGTTGCACGATGGCGTTTTTAGAGTAAAAGCATTTGCTCCAATAACATAAGCGGTAATCTCAGGTACTGTAAGTAGCATCAGGATTTGGAGCTGAATTCTGTGTTGGGGAAAAGCAAACGCAGCGAAGAAGCTTTCTTGCTTATTCCACGTTTCACCCCCTCAAAAATAAATACAACAAACAATCCCCCCTTTCCCAGGCAAAGAACAAAAACCCAAACCCCAAACGCATGCACAGATTCTGTAAGCAGCACAGGAGCTCGCTCCCCGAGCTCAAGGCAATGGCTCTGCCGAGTTTCCCCGCGCACCCAGCGCTGCCCACGGTCCCTGGGAGCCAACCGGGCCGCGCCAGGCGGGCACAGGGAAGGAGCTCCGGGAGCCGCCGGCTGCTCCGCGCACTCCCCATTCCTTCCCCCCTTAACACCGGGGGCAGTGTCTCGGCGCTCAGCCGCGGAGCAATGGCCGAGCACACGCTGGGCCCCGGACAGGCCCCGCACGGGCCTTCCCCGCCTGCGGGACCCTCCCGGGCCGCGGCCCGGCCGCTCACCTGCTCCGCGATCCGCTGCGTCTCCTCGGTGGCGGGCCGGGCCGCCGAGGCACCCCCGCACAACATGGCAGCAGCAGCGCTACGCTCCGCTCCGGCCGGGGCTGCCCCTCGGGCACGCCGGGGCGGTGCCGGGCCGGGCTGGAGCCCGCGGGCGGGGCGCGGCGGGCGGGAGCGGCCGGGCCCGGCTCCGCCCAGCCGGTCCGGGGGTCAGCGCGGCCCAGCGGGGCGGGCGCTCCCTCGCGGCTGATTGAAGACAAAAGCAGCCTAAAGCGACACTCTCTGCCGGCAGAATTTATTCTGCGGCCTGCACAGAAGGGCTGCAGCCGCTGCTCAGCGAGCGGCGCCTCCGTGCCAGCCCCGCGAGGGGACAGGGCTGCCGCCCTCAGCCGCTGCGGGTTCCCTTCCCCGCGCCGCCTCTCCCCGCAGCGCCCTGCTCCCTCTCCGGACTCCCTCGCTCACCGCGTTCATCATTCCCTCTCCCACGCTGATTTTGCCGCTCCTCAGCCAGCAAGCTGAAAGTGGTAGTGAATTATGCAGCCTCTGGGACATCCCTGGGGAGATTTTAGTTTGAATGTTCAGGTCTTTACCTAAATTTCCCCACAATTTAAACATCCAGACTTGCAAAACCAACAACAAACACCTACCTTCCTCCTCCCACTTTGCAGCACCCCTTGGTAAAGTTGGTCAATATAAACCTAAATTTAACAATAGCAGGTATTGCAAACTGAACAGAGCTCACGGATTGACAAGGAGGACATGGTGAAATATAATGAAATATAACGGGGAAGGTTTTCTTTCCTCTGGTATCATCTATAAATAAATCCTCTGCTGGGGCTTTCAGTAGGCAGAGTTCTGCCAGGTTTGTCAGGAGACTGGGAATGAAGAGTTGGGCTCTTCACTGGGATGGTTCCCAAGTTTTCCAGTGGAAATCCCACCAGAGAGCTGATACACTGTTGTTGTTTCACACTGGACAGTTCAGGAAACCTCACACTGTGGCAAGCTTTCCAGTGGATTTTTGAGCCATGGTAGGTGGGATGAGGCACTCACGTGGCATCTTCTGGTCGGAAATGTCAGTGGAGGTTCTCAGGCTCAGGCTTTCAACATAAGAATGTTCCCCAGCATGACTTTATAAGTGTTGTCATGTGTGATACACTGATAGGCTTTTTGGACAGGTGCCTGACTAAGCCTTCTCGTCTCCTGGACTTGACAGGATGAGAATATATCCTCCTCTCCGTGCATGGGAAAAGGGGTTTGGCTACAAAGCACCTTCCCAAAGGGGTCCTTTTTTACTGAACTTCCCTTGTGTCCAGCGTGTGTGTCACTGCTATCAGCTGCAGCAGCAGTTCTCATGCAGCATTGGAGCTGCACGCTCAGGGCTCCATGTATGAGAGCAGGGACGGTGAAAGGGGCTTCCCCAGCAAATACAGCACTGTTGGTCATGCTAAAAAATGATTGTAGCTCTTGGAGACTCATTGTGTGCCAGGGTATAAATTCCTTTTAAGTAAATGTAAAGAATTAAAAACACCCAAGGAATGAAAAGCACCCAAATGCATAGCTAGTATACATAGCTAGTGAATATTGCCCTCCAGACAAGGCAGCTGATGGTGACTTTCTGTTTCTTACATTGCCTGTGTTTGTACAGTCTTTGGTTTGCACAAGTAAATGGTGTTATTTTCATTTCACTCATTGAACTCTTACATGTTTCAGTGCTGTCAGCTTCACTTCAGGGGTTGTTGAGCTGGGTTTGCTCCAGTAGGAATGATTCACTAGCACTAAAACTACTCGGCTATTGGAATTTTTGGAAGTGTAGGCCATAACCAAAATGCCTTTTTTAGACCTCTCTGCCATCTACTGCTCATCCCTGTTTGTGCAGTTAGATTCAGGAGCCCCTGGAGCTCAATTCCCTACCCTAAACTGAGCCCACGGCCACAGTCAGCAGCCTGGGGAAGGAACCTATGTTTTAGAAGCAGTAAGCATCTCTTGGCTGGGTCCAGGGGCAAAATGTAGTTTCCAGAATTTGGGCTGGAAAGATTTGTGTTTTCAAGATCACTTCCTTCCCCCCCGCCCCTCCCCAATCATCTGAGTCAGGTTTTTAATCAAATATTGTGATTTGCAAGCCTTGCAATTATAGTTGAGTTGGTCCTTATGTGGTATAGTTAAAATTTGAGCCCACTCCAAGGGGGATGTAACAGATCAACAAAAGGGTTAAAACAACTTGTCTGAATAGCCTGCTTCTTCGGGTTCTGGACTTCCACTTTGCTCCTGTATGTCAAAACTTCTCTTCCTTGTCAACACGTGGAGGTGGGAAAACAAAGTTTTTATACAGAAATCTCTCCTGTAAGTTTTATTTGCCTGCCCTGGCAGAAGAACAACCAAGCAAAAACAATAACAAGAGAATTGTGGTGTTTCCCCCAGTGCATTTGAACACAGTCCTTTTGTCTCTGCTCACACTGAGCTGCAGGCCCATCTACCTTTCTTGAAGAGTTCTAGACTACCTTCATGCTCAATGAGGGAGGGTACTGACATCTTCCTGACAGATGCTTGATCTTCCATGGGGAATCTGGGAAGAGGGAATTAAATTCTGCAGTGTAACCCTAGCCCTCCCTCCCAGGCTGTCCAGGGATGTTTCTTCTCTCATCAGGCTGCAACAAATCTCTCTGCAAATGACTCTCTTCAACTTTTCCAGCACAAATCAAAAAGAACAAGGCATGCCTTGAAAAACCAGGAGCACCTATGTCTGCTTTAGGAAGAGTAGGACAAGAATAATTAACTTCTGCTATGCTCTCTACTGACATCCTTAGTGTTTTTCTTTAGGTACAGTCCACCATTCTTGTGTTAGGTCCACCTCTCTTCAGATTGGGAAATAACCTAGTAGGTGGCCTTTAGGAGCAAAACTGTATCCAGTTCATCCGTTTGTCACTTATGTGTGTCTAAGAACCTAGGCCTGAATGTCTTTCTCACCCAATCATCTACCAGCACGCACACTTCAGATATTCACCTTCTCTGGTGATCCCATTACCTCCTCCATCCCTAACTCCTCCATTTCCCCTAGTTTCATTTGCTGTGTCAGGCCCACCAGTACCGCCAGGACTGTTGCAATGTTCCGTGTAGGTGTGAGGCAGATTAATACAGCAAAGCACAACACTGACTATGGAGTGAAAGGGTTAGCCATGTATGCCTTGTGGGATAGTACAGCAGCAACACTTGGTTAAGCACACAACTACTAGCGACATAATCAGGGATACATCTCATTGTGCTTTTGCAGCGTTCTCTGGGAGGGATTTACAAGCTGTTCTCCCCCTCCACCAAAGCAGGCAGGCTGGAGGTAAAGCTATTCCAGTTGGAGGAAACCAGTAGGAACCTAAGTAGCTTGGTCTAGTGCAATGGAGTCTACGGAGAGTATTGTCCGGTATTTCCCGTTGGGCTGAAAGGAGAGACTGGGACATTACTAAATATAAATAGCAGGGCGCTCTGTCACATTAAATACTTTACATGTTCACACCCTTGGCTGTACACAGCATGCAGGATGTTGGGGGCTTTTTTATTTTCCCCGTGACTGTGCTTTCCTGAAGTGAAACTGTGTACCTTGCTTTTGTAGAGCTGAGAGTCCTGACGCACATGGTTACAGATCACATATACTGGATAAAGAGGGAATATCATACATAGTGGGAAAGAGGAATATTATACATAAATGTAAAAGCAGGGTATAGTGGAATTGCCTAGTGCCTCCCATAGTCAGCTGAGTTGCAGTCTGGCAGGAAAAGCTTACGGAGGCGAGGCAGCATGCAGACTTCTGCTTAAGCCCCACCAGAGGCGATCTTCACTTGTCCTTCTGAGATGTCCTGGTTTCAATAAAGCAAATGCAAATTCAGTCCAAGGCTCCCCAGACACAGTCCTTCCTCTGGAGGCACATGTGCTACCCTGCCGACGCTAACTTTAAGGTATGGTGGGGCTGTGTCACAGCAGTGTGTCTTTGTTACCTTTCCCATTCAGAAGCAAGAGGTGAGCAAGTTCCTCTTGGGCCTGGTGTACTTTTTGCAATCTTCTTTCGTTAGGAATGTACCGTATTCTCTGTGACAGAGCCACCTCCGGTGCCTATAAAATTTCGGGAGTTAACCGATGGCAGGGAAGGCTCTGCCTCAGGGCTTGGTTCCTCTTCTTTGTTGTCTCCTGCCACTGACTCCTGTGAGCTGGTTTCTGGGCTGGAAGCTGCATGGAAGCCAGGCTCAGCCCCGAGGGGCTCATTGATCTGCAGGGGAAGCAGGGCCCGGTGCCGCATCAGGCTGTCGTCACTGTTCTGGGCCTCCAGCGAGTTCCGGCGCTTGGCGTTCCTGTTGGCCATGGCGTTCTTCTGTGGCTCCTCGAAGCTCAGCGACAGGGTCACCGTTCCGCTCCCAAAGCTGACTTTCTGCTTGCACCCGCGCTGCTGCTGGCGCTGCCGCTCGGCACAGGCTGGTAGAGGAAAAGGGTCCTCGTGGTTGCTCTTGCTGCTGATGGAGGAGGAAGGGGTGGAGCCGGTGGAGCCCCCCAGGCTGTTGGAGCGCTTGCGGGACACGTTGCTCCGTCTCAGTGTGGCCCTGGCAGCCACTTTGAAAGCGTGGGCAGCTGTGCTGCAGCGCACCTCCTCAATTGTGTTGCGGGAGGGCTTGAAGAGGATGATGTAGACTTTGTTGAAGAAGATGCAGGCCAGAAGCCCAAAGCTGGCAGCCAGTATTGCAATCACCTCCACAGCAGACACGAACTTGCCATACGTGCTGGCGTAAGCAGGAATGAAGGAGATCCAGACGATGAAGAATATCAGCATGCTGAAGGTGATGAACTTGGCCTCGTTAAAATTCTCAGGCAGCTTTCGAGACTTGAAGGCAAAGAAGAAACAGATGGCCGCCAGTAGGCAGGTGTAGCCAATGAGGAAGCCCAGGGCCATCAGGGAGCCTTCGTGGCAGGTGATAAATATGATCTCATCCTCCAGTTCATGGTTTCGGTAGCTGGATGGTGGGGCTGTATAGAGCCAAATCACACAGATGACAATCTGCACAAACGTGCACAAGAATACCAGGAGGAACTGAAGGTTGAGGCCCCACCACTTTCGGTGGAGACTTGTGGGGATCTTTGCC